GGATCAAAATAAAAATTAAACTAAATCTAATATTAAAAAGGGAAGGTAGCACAAGTTGGCCAAAAAAAACAAAAACAGCTTATGAGTATAAAGAATAGATCTGGTTTTCACTTCTTTTGTGCCAAAATCACTTTTGGAACCCAAACCATAGTTTGGCTTCAAAAATTGCTAAACACCCCACATTTTTATGAAGCTATGGTTTGGTTTTAAAATCATGGTTTAAGTCAACTAAATCATAGTTTCATAAAAAGCAAAAAAATATCTTTTTGAAAATATAGTCCTTTTTTTAACATTATAAATTTATAATATAATGGTCTTATATTTAGAACCGGAAGAGTACTACATATGATTTTTAATATAAGAGTTAGTTAACTAATTTGAATAGATTAAGAAAAATTAGTTAAATTAGTTATTTGTAATAAATAGGTATTTCCTTCCCTAAAATACTATTTCTAATCATGTGTATTGGTTAGAAGTATCATTTGATGAAATATTTAACATGTGTAACTATTATAAGAACTACTTTAAAAAAATAGATAAATATGAGAAATAAAATGAATTAAAATTTTATATTTAAGACCAAATTGAATGTCAAAATAGATTTAAAAATTGGAGGTAGTATGTTGTTAAAAAAACTAGTTGTGAAAAAATGTTATGGAATTTCATATTTAAAATCTTTAAGGCAAAATAATATTTTTCTGTTGGCAAAAAAATAATCATTTTTCTAAAAACATATTTGATCTTATATTTTATAAATACATATACACATATTAATTATTTATTAATTACATTTTTATATATTATTTATTATGTTGGCAAAAAATATATTATTAACAAGTTTATTACTTCAAATAAAAATATATTATAAAATCTAATTTTTATATAATTATCATATTGATTTATATCGTTTTTAGTAATTTGTATATAAAAAGTATTTTTGGTAACAACTATCAAAACAATCTTATTTTATTAGAATAATTTTTTATAAAATTTATTCTTTCAAAATCTATTCTTAAAAATAATTTTTTTAAAAAAAATTATTCTCCAAGGTTTTTATCTCAACATTTAGGCCTTGTTTGGATTGCCGTTGCAGATGGTAAAAGCACACGGGGAAGCGTAAAATTGAGGTTTATGGCTTATTATGACTCAGAAGATTGTTTGGATGGAGCTTCTTTTCTAACTGACTTATCCAATATAATCTAGATCAACTTTTCTAACTGACTTATGAGAAAATTGTGCAAAGCTTATGCTCTAATTAGTTATGTGATTTCATTTACTTTAATTAGAGACCAAATAAATTTTAATTTATATTCATGTTTGTTTATTATGTATATTTAATTAATTATCTACAATGTGTTTTGAAATTTTTCTCCATAACAAATATTTTATTTTATAATTTCACAAATAACCTATTTATATTTTATCATAATAATTTTACGTATTTTTTTAAAACTATTATCACGTTAAAAACATAAAATTTCAAATACTACTATTCAATAAAATCCATATCCTTTTCAGTCATTTTACAACTAAACTGACTTTTCTATTAATTATCCAAATAACTTTCAATTTTTTCAACCGACTTTTTATAAGCACCTATATAAACATAAATCATATTATACTATCTGACTTTTACTTTAATTTCAGTTATAAAAATTAATTGAAGTAAAAATCAGTTTTGTCTAACGTTAATCCAAACATGCCCTTATTTGATAGTGCTTTGTCAAAGCCAAAAGCGTGGGTTGGAGGAAGAAGAGTCTTGAGCGTGAAAAATTGGATTAAAAAATAAAGTAAATGATTTGATGAGAAGGAAAATGGTACGGAGATAAAAAGGGCGGAAGAGAGAAGTAATTAATGAGTTTGAAAATTTTGAAAAACTGAGACAGCAGCGGCCCACAGTGTGACTTGTCCTTTTTATTGGTTAGACCATATCTTACGGGCAAGAATTTCTTTCGTTAGCATCCCTTGTGAAAGCAAGGGTGCTTTGAGATCACTTATTCAATATCACAAGACTTCGTAATTGGAACAACTTTTGAGAAACAGACATTCAAATATCATGGGTTGTTTGAAACAATTTATATACAATTTTTTAATCATAATTTACAAATCGTGATAAGAAACTGGAACCATATGCTGAGGGAAAGTTGAAAATTAAACAACCATTCACGAAAGATCCCAACTTCAATGTCTCACGGCTGCTGGGACCTGATGCCTCAAAAATCAATCGACTTTTACTTTTCTTGTGCCAGCCAGAAACATCTTGTGGTCACAAGCCCTTGTAAGGATTTTTGTCTTTCAGAAAATACCTGTAAATTTTTTGTATTAACTCTTAATGTGAAATCTAATTTGAATAGATGAAAAATATAAGTTAAATTAGTTAATATGATATGCTTTATTTAAAATACTCTAAACATCTTTCTTAACTCCTTTCCTCCCTTTCCCATTTGATTATTGTTAAAAGAGTATCAATGGGGTTAACTTGAGAAAGAATTGATAAACACGTTAAATAAGTCTTATATATAAGAATGACATCAACTTTTCAATTAGATCCTACGACTGGAGAATTACAGTGTAAATTAAAGTTTGTTTTTTAGCTAATTGATACTCTTTCGGTTCTTAATATAAGACCCATTTAACTAATTTGATTAGATTAAGGAAGTTAGGTAAGTTAATTAATTATAAGAAATGTGACATGTTTTTCTTAAAATACCATAATTATCTTTCTTAATACCCCATCTTTCTCTTCTACTTGATTATGGTTGACGAAGTATCCATAGGGGTAATTTAGAGAAAATTAATAAATATGAGAAATGGGTCTTATATTTAGGACCAAAATCAACTCACCAATTGGGTCCTATATTAAGGAGCGGAGTAGTATTTTGTACAAACTTATTCACATCATTTAACAGCTTGTCTTTTGATGAGACACATACACACACACGGATTGTTAGACTACTTAGTCAAGCTCCTTTCTTGCTATCCTATCCGAGATGATGAGAAAGATAAACATCTTATCTATCTAATATGAAGAGCACTGGAGAATGAAGAGTGGTGATTTAAGCAAGAACAGCTGGACGGACTCCTATAGTGAGTCCAGTGACTACTAGAGTAGAGTTGAGGGTATGGTATAGTCGCCTTTCCGAGCGAGCCTCTGGGCGGTGAAGACCAATCCCGATAGTCCCAAGAGGGCCAGATCTCTTCTCTCTTGTTATTTTGTGGAAAGTCCGCTCAGTGTTAGCATGAAAGCGGATAACCAAGGTAGAGTAGGTATGAATGAGTCGAGATGACGAGCACAATTCTTAAGCTTGGTAAAGAACCTTTTGTACGTAGCTCTTTCTGGTTCGTTCATATGATGTGTAAGGCAGAAGGAGTAGTACCATATATTGAGGCCATTGCCCGGCTTTGTCTATGCTGATTTTGGGGTTTCTTAAGCGAAGGCAAGCATGCGTAGGATACTGCGATCCTAGCTGCAGGAAAAAACCCAGCCTCTTAAACTAGCACTTACAAGGCTCGCCATCTACGGAGCGAGGCTTTGTGGTTCTTGGTGAAGTTAGGGGTAGACCAAGTCCCATGATAGTTAAACATGGCAGCAAATGAACTTGTTATTTTGTCTGTCATAATCCATCACTGCTTCTTGTTTTGTGCAGCTTCTGATATCATAACCACTGACAAACCTCTAAGTGATGGTGATCTTCTCATTTCTACAGAAAATAAGTTTGCTCTTGGGTTCTTCGCTCCAGGCAAATCAAACCATCGCTACGTGGGAATTTGGTACTACAATTTGCCAGAGCAGACTGTTGTTTGGGTTTCAAACAGAGACAATCCCATGAATGACACCTCTGGAGTTCTCTCTATCAGCTCAGATGGAAATCTGGTTCTTCATGGTAACTATTCCGACATACCCATCTGGTCTACGAATGTTTCTGTCACTGTTCGAAGTACAAAAGTTATGGCTCAACTCACAGATTTTGGTAACCTCGTTTTGATTCAAAATGACTCCAAAACTGTCATCTGGCAGAGCTTTGATCATCCTACCGATACCTTGCTTCCGTATGCCAGAATTGGAGTAAACAAAAGAACTGGTCAGAGTCAGTTCTTGCAGTCATGGAAGACCGAGGATGATCCTGGAACAGGAAGCTTCTCTGTTAGGTTTAATGCTAGTGGGAAATCTCAGTTGTTCTTGTACAATAATAACGCTCCATGGTGGCGTATTGGATCCTTCAACGGCGAACTATATTGGCAATCCGTTTATGAAGCAAGCAATGGCAACTGATTTCAATATAACCATCTTGGATGATGATAATGAGGTTGGGTTTAGATATAACACTTTTGACAAGACAATCATTGTGCATGCGATGGTTCTTCAATCTGGATCTTTTCAAGTACTGATATGGGATTCTAATAAGAAACAATGGAATCGATACTGGTATGGTCCAAAAGGGGATTGTGATGTCTATGGTTCCTGTGGGGCCAATGGAAATTGTGACTCTCATGACTACGCGTACTTCAAGTGTCTCTGCCTACCTGGGTTTGAACCCAAAAATCCAACAGATTGGTATCAACATTTCCATCGAACAGAGGGTTGTGTGAGGAAGAAAGGGCCATCCATGTGCGGGAATAATGGAGAAGGCTTTGTCACAGTAGAAAGGGTTAAAATTCCTGATACATCTTTCGCAAATGTTAATATGAATATGAGTATGGAAGAATGTAAACGAGAGTGCTTGAGAAACTGTTCCTGTAATGCCTATGCAGCTGCAGATGTGAGAAATGGAGGAAGTGGGTGCTTAGCTTGGCATGGGACTTTGACGGACACAATGGTTTAAGTGAGAAGGCCATGATTTATACGTTCGTGTTGATGCCACTGAACTTGGTAATTACAATATTTTAATTCTTTGTTTATTTATTTTTCCTCCTCTGTTTTGTGCTCTGTGTTATGACTTTTTTCTTCCAACTCTTCCCAGCAAAATATGCCCGAAAATCAAAAGGAGAGCTTTCTAAGCCTGGGAAAGTGGGAATAGCAATGGCTTGTGTCGGTTTGATTGCTATTCTCACCACCTTATCTGTATATTGCACTCGGAAGAGAAAAACAAGAGGTGACTATTTCATTTCATGTCTGACTTCCCTGTCGTTGGTAATTTGGATGTTCTTTCACTTAATAATGACTCTTTTTTACTAGAACCTGAAGTCATTATTTAGTCAATTTATTTCGTACCTATATGCAGTTTTATATGTTTCTCCGCCATTGTCCCTTAATTTGTTCTGCTTCGTTTCAGTTGTCTCCTTGGTTTTTTTGTTAAGGATATAAGTTGTATTTGTCAAGTACATGAACAATAAAGTCACATTTGTTAATGATTTTGCAAAAGAATTTGATCGAAACCTTCGTGTTTTTATTGATTACAGCTGTATTAGATGTTTTTAAGACAAAATTACTTGTTTAATCACGGTTTTGCTGCCTAACACATTGATCAAGGTAAATAAGAAAACAAGAATGACATCGCAATCTCAGCAAGTTCCACCTCATACGCATTAGTTTAGCCGCTTGACGCATCCTCTATTGCCAACTCACACGTCCTACTCGTCTTTTCTCTGCTATAAATTTGGGCTGGCATTCTGGGTCCGATATTATTCCCAAACCTATCCGAAATGTTGGGTGCTCAAAAGTCAAAAGTCAATGATAATTGATTAGTAGCCATGAAGGGCTCAAAAATCTTTGCTAATTAACTAGTTAAAATAGCAAAAACGCTAGAGGAGCATGGTCATCTAATTCTTCAAGCATTAATCTTGAAATAACTTTTTTTTTGGATAAAGGGTTAAATGCTTTGTTTTTTTCCCCCTTCTTGATATTATATTTTCAAATGTTCTTACAGACACTTCACCTCTTGTTTTTGTTAATCTCAGATGAAGTTGCAGAAGAAGAATTAGAGTTAGATTCCCCAACAAATAAAGAACGACATGCTGAAGATGGAGAACAACCAAGCTTATCTTTTTTCAGCATCAAAACCATAATGACTGCAACAAACAATTTCTCAAATGAGAATCAACTAGGGCAGGGTGGATTTGGTTCTGTATACAAGGTAAGTGAACTGTTCAAAAATCCTGTTGCCCTGCAATTGGTCATGTCATGGAACTCTGAGGCAGATTGTCTTGCACACCAATAAATAGCATGGGAGTAATAAGCCCACTTATTATATTTATCTCATATTGGTTATAGCATGACATGAATCTTATGATATCTCAGGGCTTACTAGATAATGGACTAGATATAGCAGTGAAAAGATTGTCTCAAGGTTCTAGACAAGGAACTCAAGAGTTCAAGAATGAAATTAAGGTGATTGGAAGATTACAACACAGGAATCTTGTAAAATTACTTGGTTATTGCATTCATAAGGGAGAAAGGATGTTGATATATGAATACCTACCCAACAAAAGCTTGGATTTCTTTCTCTTTGGTGCGTGTTCTTCTCCTTCTCTTTCTTTAGACTAATGTTGCTTTCAGATATCACACTTTCAATTAACATCCCTCAATAAATTAGAGAACTGTGAAAATTTATATGCATAGTTTTTTTTTTTCAAATCATCAAATTTGGAATATACTCAAGATTTCTAACGTATTCATGTCAAATCATGCAAATATTTAGAAGCAGTACTTTGAAAGGGCTCAGTATTCATTTTCATTAATATGTATCAAAGACAGCTATAGGAATGTGTAACCAGTAAGTGCTACTTTTTTTATACTTAACGTTTCACAATTACAGGAATTCTATATAATTCCAATGAGTTTGTAGGAATCGAAGCTCGATAAGATTCTTGAAAATGTTATTTCTTGCATATAAATTAAAATTTTATAGCCTTGAATGCCTATTGTATCATATACTTGATTTGTGTATGTGTTCGAACTAGATTAGCTTTCCATCATTTACAATGTTAATTATTTTATGGTTCATTGCAGACTCAAATCATAGAATGTCATTAGATTGGGACACACGTTTTCATATTATTTTTGGAATTGCTCGAGGTCTTCTATATCTTCATCAAGATTCAAGGCTGAAAATAATTCATAGAGACCTTAAAGCTAGCAATGTTCTTTTAGATGCTACAATGAATCCCAAGATTTCAGATTTTGGCATGGCTAGAATATTTGGTGAGGATCAACTCGAAGCAAAAACGCGACAAATTGTTGGAACATAGTAAGGACAAAACTATTCCACATATTCTAAAACAAAACAATTGAGTTTCATAACAATGTTGTAACTATTTTTCTTATTCCAGTGGTTACATGTCTCCAGAATATGTAATGATAGGACAATATTCAGTGAAGTCTGATGCTTTTAGCTTTGGTATTCTTTTGCTGGAGATTATCAGTGGCAAGAGAAGTACCTATTGTGATAAAGAAAGATCATCCCTAAATTTGATTGGGCAGGTAACCAAATAAGACTATAATAGTGAAATTTAAACATAATCATTGATCTTTTCCATCTCCTCTCATAACCTATTTTATTGAATTTGGTGCCACGTTTTGAAGTAATAATATAGCATTCACTTAATTTGCAGGTGTGGGACTTATGGAAAGAAGGAAAAGCCTTGGACATAATGGACTCAACACTTGGCAAATCATATCCTCTTGACACAGCCCTAAGGTGTACACAAATTGGGCTCTTATGTGTACAAGAAAGTGCCTTCTATAGACCATCCATGTTAGACGTTGTTTTCATGCTTGGCAATGAAGTAAGTATACCCTCACCTCACAAGCCTGCTTTCCTATTCAATTATGAAATAAAGCAATCAGAGTCTTCATCATCGGGAGATCCTTCAGTAAACGCTATGACTACTACTTCAATCGATGCTCGGTAAACATGACTTGGGAGATATGAGAGAAATGTACTTAATCAATCATCTTATGTCTTTTTTGTTGTTAGATACTTAGATTTGGAATTTTGGATTATTCTACTTGACTTTGTATCAAGGTTTGTATTTATCCATGTTACTTTTATAATGCATAGATAACTAAAAAATATTCTTTTTATTTGAAAAAAAGGGTATTGTAGCTGCCGTAATTGAATGGTTTTATAGGTAAAGTTGATTCTTTGGTTTGTGTAGTTTGCATCATTTGTTGATTTGGTTCCTATAATTTACTATTCTTAGTTCTAAACATAAAATTTAGTTTGTAATATGGAATTTGCACTTCAAACTATATCTTATATTTTGAATTAAATGTAGTATTTCTTTTTAACGTTATCCCTACATCGAAATGCCTCAATGTTAATCGCATTGCTTTTGAAACAATGAATTATCATTGCCCATCGTGTTTAAAATTGACACAAACCAAAGAATCAACTTTGGTTTCTAATTCCTTTTATGATCAACTATCTCATCTTTCCTATCTCTTTCTTCTTTCTTCCCCTCTTATCCTTCATCTCTCTCATCTCCATCGACTCTCCCTCTCAGTTCTCACCTTTCGCATCAACTCTCACACTTTCTCACAGAAAAATAGAGCAATTAAAGTTCGATACAAAACAGAGCTCAAAGTACAGGAAACTGAAGGGTGAGACTTGATTAGAAACGTCATGTTATAGAGAGATGCTTTCTGCCAAAAAAAAAAAAAGGCTTCATAATCTCTTGTTTGGAATGAACTCTAAACTTCCAAGTCAAAATAAAGTCCAAACAATTAATTAATTCGTCTTATAATAAGTATTAATCCCTCTGGGACAATAGAAAAAAACAATCACTTATAGCCAGCTTAATTGCTGCAGGAATTTCATCGCCAGTATAATAAGATAAAGGAAGGAGTAGAGAATCACAAAGCGGATGCATAATTTATTTATCAGAGTGAAACAAAGCAAATCCGATCTAAATGAGGAACTGGTTCTTTTTTCTTTTCTTCTTTTTCTTGGTCATAATCTAAACAAAGGAACCAAAGGAGAATAATGAAGCCCCTACTATATTAAATACTACTTGTCCCAATTCTATCACCACAATCTCGTTACATTCCACTGGATCATACAGTTCCTCACTGGAAAAATAAATCTTCGATCCTGTAGCTGCAACAACTGCTGGCCCTTCCACATGATGATGATGCATTTCATCCACCAGATTATTGATTATGCAAGCAATAACGTGTTATAAGAGATTAACCAAGTTATTAATTATTCTTGTTCGTGCCGATGGAGGATGTCAAAGAAGCCGACGGGCTGCATTTATCATAAAAATTTTTATATCTTAAAAACGAGGCAACTCTTGGGGCCTCCGTAGTCATAAAAACGAGGATGACATAATAACAGCCGATGGAGGCATGAAGCACCAAGCATTTAATGAAAATGACATTTTTGTCTCAGTTTTGAAATGTCTGTGTGCATATTTTTGTATCTAATATTTTATTATGATACTTGGTATTCTTTTTTAATATTATAATAAGTAAATTTGCTCCTCATCTGTAGAAAAATACTAATTACTATCTCCAGTTTTAAATATAAGATTTTGTTTATAGTTTACAAATAAAGTTTTATAATTAAGACCGGTGGTAGTAAAAATATAGAAGAGTATTATAGAAGTGTACTATGCATTCAATACGCATGCAGGGGTTTAGAATATTCTTGTAAACAAAACAATGTAGAAGTTGGGTTATTGGTTTTCTGGCCTAGTCTGCAGACCGTGTAATATTCCTGTCATAACAATACACATTTAACTATTAGCATTATCAGATCATATATAAATAAAAATTTATTTTGTTAGCATTATTAGACCATATATAAAAACTAATTGTGCTAAGAGAGTAAAATTGAATGATTTAATATGGAAAGAAAAACTCACATGTACGAAATTAAAAATTGAAGAAAACTATAGATATTTCAAGAATGGTTTTCGCTAATCCTTTTTTTGCCAACATTTTAGATTATGATCCTACAACCATTTATATAATACTTCTTTGATTATTAATGTAAAAATTATTTAACTAATTTGATTATATTAAAGAAATTAGATAAGTTAGTTAATTATAAGAAATATGACATGTTTTTTCTAACATGTCATTATCATCTTCTTTATCTTTCCCTTCTCTTATTTGATTATGGTTGAGAAGAGATATCTATGGGGATCACTTAGAAAAAGTGATAAATATAAGAATATATCTTATATTTAGGATCAAATCAATTTAATAATTAAATTCTATGTTAAGAGTAGGAGCAATAACATAGTTAATAATACAATAATTTAAATATATTTTTAATTGTAAAACAAATTAATATATTTGGGAGTTGGTGTTAATAAAGGTATCATGATCATTTATCTCATTGTTAGATGCTTGCTAAAATAGAAAGATGATTTCTTAGAAAATTTGTTTTATTGTCAATTAAAATCAATTCCTCTTGATCATAATAATAATGAAACAAACAAGATAAAAATATTAATTGCTATAAATAAAGAAGAAAGAGTAGAGAGTCAGAGGGAAGAGAACATAAGAGTACTTCTCATTTCATTCAAGGTCCTAAATACATGATACATGCCTTCTATCTATAACCATGACTTTACAACTTCAACAAAATCTACAGATTAATAGGAGATAATCGTGAGATCATAAAGATAAGATATGATAAAGAAGATAATAGGAGAGACATGGACATCCATACAAATATTATTATATTTATAACACCTCTCCTTAGATGTCCATTATATGAATGTGCCTCATTAAAAGACTTCATCTAGGAAAAAGTCTATGGGACAAGAGCGTAATAGAAGAAAAAGAGTATATCATTCATTGATATAATATATAATTCTGTCTCATTAAAAACCTTGCTAGGAAAAACCAGTGGGACAAAACCATAGCCAAGGGAAAAAAAAGTATAACGTGCATCAACTCTCTCTCTTAGTAATATCAGTTGACATCTTTGAACCTACAAAGTCTAGTATAATGATCAAACCTCTCAAATATTATACTTAGACAAATACGAACGATATTAATTTTACAATCTTTTAAAGATCATGAGACAAATAGTCTATTTATGGTCTACTAATGATGTCTTTATCATTAAAGCACTTAATTAAACAAGTTCCTAATTAATTTGTAGTTGATGATCAATTTAGGTCATTACTTCCAAGGAACAAGTTATGGGTTTTTCTAGGTAGAAATTTAGGTGATAAAAAATGTAATAAAATGGACATAAACTAAAATGTAAAATTCTAATTTTAAATGTAAGATACAAATGTCCTAAAATCTATATTAAAATTAAATTAAATGAATGCAAATGCAATTCATGGGGGGATTTTTTAGAAGGCAAAATTAAAATGATAAGTGAAGAAAATTAACTAGAGAGCAAAGAAAATTAACAAGTAAAAATAAGGGGTTTTTCTTCAAGTATGATAGAGGAAACAGTTTATGATTCGCATGGAGTTAATTTTCATAACCTAAATTAATTAATTAGACCAAAAGAAAGTGGCAAGAGAGTGGAATTAATAAGTTTAATTATTTTCTTGAAACAAAAGGAGCTCTCAATTTCAAAAATCCTTAAACCGTTAGAGAGCTCAAAACGATATAAGGTTGGTTAGTTAAACTTATTGAAAACAATGACAAACAATTCAAATTAATTCTGGAAATTATACTTAGAATTATCCAATTAAACAATTAGATAATTTACCAACTCAATTAAACAATCAAGAGACAAAAGAACTGTAAATTCGCAATTCAGACCACACTGATAATTAAATCCATAATGAAAACTCAATTATAAATTCAAATAATAATGCAAGGGTTCAGAAACATAAATTCTAACAAATATCTCAGCATAAATATAATCATAGTATCAATCCAACCCAAGAATAAAGATGACAATCTAAAACTAAATTATCTCACAAAATAAGAACTTAAAAATTATTTAAAACTAAATAATCTCAAGTTCTTAGACTAAAAAGATAAATAGAACATCATTATCTTATGGTCTTCAAGTGCTAGCTTAAGGCTCAAGCCTTCTCTATATTCCTTCCAAGTTGCCTCCCAAGCAAGCTCAAATTGCCATCAAAATGCTTCCTCTTCCAAAGTTGTTAGATGCCACGGGCATAAATTGAAGGAAGGTGATGATGAGGTGTACATGGGAATAGAATCCTTGCGTCATTGGGGGGTGGGCCCCCCCGGGGGAAGATGAATGTGAAGGGGAAATAATTATTCAATTCAAGATGGACTGCGTGACATGTGAGTGAGGGGAGTATGTGGGAACTACGCAAGAATGGAGAAGTTGAATAATTCCTTTGATCTAGGGGGGCAAGTATAAGATCATGACCATAGGATGAAGGGAGTATTTTAATGGGAGAAAAAAGGATTTTTTAATCCAAAATTCAAGCTCATTAGTAATTAATTGACCAACTTAATATTAGCCATTGGATTGTGCTTGAATTACAAGAAATAATCTTGCAATATTGGATCTCTTATATACTCTTCCTCAACCTATAAGAATTTAAATGCATCTATTAATATAGATTTTATCCAAATATAATATAATATGTATCAAAATTAAATATTAGATATGTACAAGAATAAGGCAAGAAATTGCAAAACTTTCTAAAGATCAATCTTTCTAAAAATATGAGACTTATTTTCAAAGAAATAGGCAATATTAATTTCAAACTGAAAATAGGAAATCATAAAATGTTTATATTTTCAATCCAAAATCTCAATTTTTATGAAAAATCCTAAAAAAATTAATTAATCCAATAATACATAAAAATTCATTTAAACTCAAAATTATCAATTAAATTCTAGATTAATGTGGGATAAAATGCATAAAATTAGATTTTATCATCTACCAACATATGGATCATATTGTGATCTCTTGACATGAGGATCACATAAGAATCTTTTATTTGCATAGCTAGTAAAATTAGTCACATTCAAATAAAATAAATACCACTTCTATAATACCTTTAAAATAACAAAAAATATGCTTTAACTTTATTCCAAAGTCTATATCATGCTAATTAGCAAATAATATATCAGGTTGTATGTGCATGGCTAGTGATGTCACTAAGATATGATATTTCTAGACTAAGTATTTATTCATCAGATTCTCTAGATCTAAACGGATCTTTAATCCACATCTAAAGAACTTGTAATTACCATAACACAAGATAAATGTAACTTATTCACATAAAAGTGCTGTAAGACTTTTTTTTTTCCAATAAGTTTCTTAATCCATATTCTAGTTTGTAGTCCAAGATAATCTTTTGTTTTTTTTTCAAACCTTTCATTTCAAATTATTTCTTTAAATAATTCACAACTTTTGAAAACTCTTTAGGAGTTTCGATGCTATCAATATAAATAGCATTAATATATAAAGGTAGAGTACAAAACAAGATTTAATAACAAGCCAACATGTGGTAGCTCCATTTCTTAGATAAATGTTTTTTATTTTTTATTTTTGTCAAAGTCACATTTCTACCCATGATCAATTTATTGCAATTTTCTCCTATAATGAGCCATATTTTTTCTATTTTTTGTAAAAACCAAAATACCCATTATTCGTAAATATTTTAAATTAAGAAATAAATAAAATTATATAACTTATCTTATCCCGAAAGTCATGGCATATATGCCGAGCATTGTGTGTTCAAAATTTGAAATCTATATTAATTTGATAGTATTATTTAAAATTAACTATGCTTGAAATTTAATTTTGACTGATCTATTAATGTATTGAAAATAGTATCCTGCTCCCCAAATCTAAGCTGTTATTTATAGCTGAAATATCTATTATTTTATTTTTTTTATTTATGAATTATTTTGAAATCTAATTCAAATGAAAAATTATTTTAATTTTGATACTTAGAATTAAAATTTATTATAAAATAAAATAAATATTAATTTTTAAGAAAAACAATTGATGTCTTTATGGATTAGCTTAATCAAAAAACTGAAATTAAAACTTAAACATATTAGTTGAGATATTTTGTTTATTGCTATTATGTAACTTTAACAATAGGAACTACTCAATTTCGTAATTTATTGAATAGTGAACCTATTTTATTTTTGATATGATATTTGTCTACTACTAATGATCTTAGACAGTGAATTTCCTAATTATCATTATGATAATCAACATATTTTATGTTTTATATTAAATACCTCATTTAATCTTAACTCCATGAAGTATGCAGATTTTGGAAGGAAGCAGGTGTGCTTCCAATGTTTGTGTATGGTGGGGGAGGGTTATGAGGGCTTATGATAGTTACTCAATTACTACAATTATTTAAATACCTATGAATGTTGCTGTGCACACTCCTTCTTTTCCTCTTTCTCATGAACTATGAAGATGACATGGCCATGTACTACAAATCACTACCACAAGATTACATTAGAAGTCTTATTTTATTATTCTCTATGGTGGTGGCCATGAGGCTCCATTTTTACTTGTGGCAAGGAAGATGACAATGAATGGGTTAATCACTAGGAAGGGTAGACAAGCCTATTTAGAGCAAGGAACATGGGATGGCATACATGCTATAGAATTAGTTTCCAACTATTGCTTTACCTCATTGGCTCATCATCATCTCTACCTCAAGTATTTATATATCCATATCCTAACTTTCCCATACCAAATGAAGAAGATAGGAGGGAGCTACGAATTGAGATGCAGAACACCGTCTTCAAATTTGTGAAAAGGAAATGACATGTCTAGTCTACAAGTTTATATTTTTTTTTTCATATTTTGTTTTGTTCTCTTTGTCCAAGTGTTGTTCCATATTTCCTCTTTGTTGCAATAATTGATTCATGAATTTAGAATGTATTATCCATTACTCAGAAGTTGCATTCTAGTCCTTTAGAAGTGATCACCATGGTAAAGGAGAAGTTGGTGGAAATTGATAGAAGGAAAGAGGCTTGGGCATTGTGAAGTTTCTAATAGAAAAGAATACTAGGAAAGTCATGCTTGTGATGAGCTAGTTGAGGACGCTCAAGTATCTGCTTGTATTGTAGAGTAACCTCTATCTTTACTCTATTTTCATCATACTTTAGCTTTTTTTAGAGATGAAGTTTCAATATCATTCTATGTCATCCAATTGTTTGGAAGTTCCAACATTTTAATGTGAGTACCATATAATTGATTAGCCTGAGATGTTGATATTTTTTTGTATTTATAATTTGATTTTGTATTATAATATTCCTTTCAAGAGATTGCATGATTTTTGAAGTTTTGTCTTGTATAATTGAATATAATGCTACCAAAGTTTATTTAGCATACATTTCAAGTTCCAGTTTGCAACCCTAGGTTATTATTGTAGTTCTTCCTTATAGTTTTTTTGTCTTCATAAAATATTTCTTGAATACAAATATTTTGATATTGATTTTGTAGTTTTATATTATTTTAAGTCTATATTTGAAGATTTCTACCCTAGACAAAACACAGCATATTGAAAACTGAAATTCTCATTACTAAACGAAATTGTTACATTGCCATTGACCTCATATCAAATGTCCAAGTCCAATGCCTATTTATAGACCCAGACTAAAACCAAAGAAATAAAGAAAGAAAACAAGAATAAAACACTATCTAACTAACCGAGCTCAGATGTATCAAGCAATACAACCTAGCCCAACTAACTCTAAATATGTACAACATTAATTCCTATTTCTTACACTCCCCCTCAAGTTTGGGGTTGTACATGTCTACAGTCCCTAACTTGCTTAACAATTTTCTTTGAATTTCTCCAGAGACAGCCCTAATGAGAATATCTGCCTGTTTTTCACACGACCTTACATGCCTCAAATCTATAAGCTTTGATTCCCACTTTTCTCTTATGAAATGACAATCCACTTTAATGTGTTTTGTTCTTTCATGGTAAACTGGATTAGCAGCAATATGAATAGTTGCTTGACTATCACAAAATATATTCACAGGATGTTCATGCAAAATATTCAAGTCTTAAAGCAATACTCTTGTTGAAACTATCTCAAATGTAGCCATGCTGAGAGCTCTATATTCAGCTTTTGTTAAAGATTTTGACACTGTGCTCTGCTTCTTTGCTTTCCACATTACTGAAGAGCCACCAAATTTCAACAGATAGCTTGTTACCGATCTCTTGGTAATTCCATAGGAAACCCAATTTGAATCACAAAAACATTCCAACACTGGTTCTCCTTCTGAGCTAATAAGTAGTCCCATTATAGGACACCCCTTCAGATATCTTACAACCCCTTTTGCTGCTACCATGTGCGCCTTAGTTGGATTATGCATCAACTGATTTAAGGTCTGCACACAAAAAGAAATGTGTGGATGAGTGATAGTCACATAAAGGAGCTTACTAATCAACTTTCTATACCTCTTTGGATTGCCAAGTAACTCATCTTCCTTACCCTTTCTTTCATCATGAGGCAACAATTTAAGATTTTGAGGCATAGGAATATCAAGAGGTTTACACCCACTCATCCTTGTCTCATTTAGCAAGTCAAGTATATATTTTCTTTGACACAGTATTATGCCTTTTTCAGATTTTGCTACCTTAATACCAAGGAAATATTTCATTAAACCAAGATCTTTGATTTTAAAACTATTATGTAAGAAATCTTTGGCATTTTGAATTCCCTTTTCTGAACTTTCTGTTATTAGGAGATCATCAACATATACTAGGATAAGAACAATTCCATCATTGAAATTCTTGATAAATAATGAGTAATCATTCTTACTTTGAGAGAAGCCACCTCTTACCAAGACCTTTGAAAGTTTTTGATCCCATTACCTAGAGGCTTGTTTTAATCCATAGAGAGATTTTTTTTTTTTTTAGTTTGCACTCCATGTTCTCCCCCTTACTTTCAAAACCTTGAGGGATTCTCATATAGATCTCTTCATTCAAGTCCCCCTGCAGAAAAGCATTTTGTACATCCATTTGGTAGAGATTCCACCTATTCATTATAGACAATTTAAGGACTAGTTTAACAGTAAATATCTTTACAACTAGGGAAAAAGTTCTCATGATAGTCAATATCTTCCCTTTGACTATAACCTTTTGCTACCAACCTGGCTTTATACTTTTCAACACTCCCATATGAATTATACTTGATTTTATACACCCATTTACATCCTATAGGTCTTATATTTTTAGGTAAAGGTACAATATCCAAAGTTTTGTTATTTTTAAAAGCCTTTATTTCAATTCTCATTACACTTACCCATTTTTCACCTAAAGCAGCCTGCTCATAACTTGTGGGTTCAGTTTCAGAATCAATAGAAGAAAGAAAGCACAAATAATCAGAGGAAAAACCATCATAATCAATGTATTTATGAATAGGATACTTCATCTACCTTGTTCAGTGGTGGTAGTAGAATAGATATATTCCTTTGACCATATAGGAGGACGCCTTTCCCTTGGAGGCCTTGGCTAGGTAGTGATTTGCTGATTAATCATTTGCTCAGGATGAGTACTCTCAGCAACTTCTTGCTATTCATTATGATCAGTTCGTGGCTCTCCATTATTACTTTCATCATTCAGTGTGGGTCTTAATGGAATCTGCTCTAGGTCATACGAGAACATTTCCTTTAAAGTATGATGGACTCCCCCTTGCTCCTTACTTATAGCATCCTTATAAGAAAATTTTTCTTCATGAAAGCTAATATGTCGACTCACCATTAGATTTTTATTTTTTAAATCTAGAAGAAGAAATCCTTTTTGATTTTTAGGATATCCTAAGAACACACAAGGAATAGCTCTTGATTGCAATTTACCAATAACTTTAAGATCTATTGCATAAGCGAGTGACCCAAAGACTCTTACATTGTTTAAATCTAGTTTAGTCTTGTAAACCTTTTCATATGGAGTTTTAAAGTCAAATATTTTAGAAGGTATTCTATTAACCAAATAAATAGCCATCTTAACACATTCTCCCCGGTATTGAATAGGAATGCTAGATTGTAGCATCAAACTCCTATGGAGCTGCATTATAGTTCTACGTTTTCTTTCAACAACCCCATTTTGCTAAAGTGTACAAGGGCATGTAATTTCATGAACAATACCTTTTTCTTGAAAGTAGAGTTTCAAATCATGATTTTTAAATTTTGTCCCATTATCACTCCTTATCCTCTTTGCAGAATCAGATTTGTTTTTCATCAAGAAAATCCGCGTTCTCCTAGAGAAATCATCAACAATAGTGAGAAAATATTGATACTCTTGATGGGTTGGTGTTCTATAAGGACCCCAGATATCAATGCGTAAAAGTTCAAAACAATTAAGTGTCCTTATATAGCTAGAATTGAAGGGAAACTGGGTTTGTTTAGATTGAACACAAATATCACAAGTCTCATTCAAAACACTACCATGTTGAATTACAAAATCAAGATGCTTCATTTCAGACAAAGGGGCATGCCCCAATCTCTTATGCCATAGAGCAATATCAGAATAGTTATATAACCTATAACTATTTTGGAGCACATTCACAGCATGACAATTCCTAGCAACTTTTAGAATATAAAGACCAACAAATTCTTTACCAATAAGCTTTATCCTCCCACCCCTTCATCAAGCAAAAGTCATGGAAAAAAAAAGAAGCCATACATTTATGTTCCTTAGTAAGCCTAGATATGGAGATCAGATTAAACTTCAATTATGGAGCATAGAGGATATCCACTAATAATATTTCATCTAATATTCTAGCCTTGCCTATATGTGTGACGGGAACATGTTTTCCATCTGGTATTTTTATAGATTTAATAGGTCCATGATATATTTGATGATTTTCTAAAAGATTTAAGCTACCAACCATGTGTGTTGTGGCTCCAGAATCCAAAATCCAATTGGTATAAGATACATTATGGGTTGCAGGAATAGCCAAATCAGTACCAGTAAGGGCGTGCCCGGTAGGTTCTGAATCTTTTTGCAGCAGTTCTAGTATTTTCTGGTATTATTCATATGTGAATGTAGAAGTAACTGAAGTTCCTTCATTGGTGTGAGCCTCTGAATCTTGTGTTAAATCCAAAGTGCTTTGGCTAGGTTGTTTATTTCAAGGAACAAAAAACCGGACCGGTCAATAAACCGGTTGAGACATTGGGTCAAAGGTTAATAGGTCAGACCAAGGTCAGCCCGAGTCAAACTGGTAATAATTAAAATAATATCATTTAATTAAAATAACCACCCGACAATTCTTAGGTCTTACAGGGAATGAGAGGCCTTCCACATAAGCCTTTGTTGCTAGAATAAGAAGTCTCGGGAAAGTCAATCAGAGGTTTGCCCTCTGGAATTTCCCCTTCAAGAGAATTGTCTAATAAATTCAGTTCTTTTAGGTTTCTCAGGTTCAGAAATCCACTGGGTATGTTACTTGTAAAGTGATTCTTCTGCAGCTTCAATCTCTCTAACGAGGTTAGATTTGCCAATATCTCCAGCAAGTTGGAGGCTAAATCGTTGAAGCTCAAATCCAAACTTTGAATTGATTTCAAACTCCCAATAGAACTTGGTAATCTACCTCTCAGAATGTTGTGAGACAAATTCAGAAATTGAATGTCACGTTGCCCTCCCACGCCAATGTCTTCAACCCCACTTGATTAATTAATTAATTAATTAATTTTTTCCTTTTAATCCTCTCTTTTCTTCATACATTAAAACTTTTTCTGTTTTTATTTTTTTACTTTTATTTCACATCCTCTATCTTTAGTCACATGGCCTGCTTTACTTTTTCAAGTTTTCAATTTTTTTTTATTCCTCCACTCTTTGCCTCCTGCCACACGGACCCATCATTTCAAGTTTTCATTTTTTGTTTTTATTTTTCTCCACTCTTTCCCTCCTGCTGCAGACCCATTAAATCACACCATTGCCTTTTGTTTCACACTTTCACTCCTCTGCACCTGCACATCGATCTTATCTCTTCTCACTAAGCCTTCGCTCTCTTCTTTGTTCTCTCTTCATCCTTACCTTCAAATCTTCAATCACGGTCTCTCTCTCCCCCCTCTCTTTTTCCTTATCTTCCATGAGCAACATGAGCTGAGTCAATGGGTTGAATACTGAGATGAAGATAGATAGTACTAACAGCGGCGGTGATAGAGCAAGAAGTAAAGAGTGAAGACCACGGCTTAGCAATTAATAGCAGCAGTGACAGAGTAAGAAGTGAAGAATGAAGACCACAAGTTAGCAACGATGGACACAGATAAGTTCTAGCATTCCAGATAGACTGGCAGAGAGATTTAGAGTTTCTTTTTTTTTTTTTTAGTTGTTTCTCCAAATATTCACTGTGTATAATTTTCTAAAAAATTTTTTACATGAAAAATGAGCTCATTTCCTGAGGATGGAAGATTGAAATAATCAAATCAATAAGCCATCTTAACCAGTGATTTACCCGGTTCTTACTGGTTGAATCAGTTTTTAATCAGTTTGAACATTGTCTTGTTTTTTCCCTCAACCAGACCGGATCAGAGACCGGTTCACCGGTTTTCCAGTTGAACTGGCCCGTCTGGTCTGATTTTTTCTTCATTGGTTTATCCTGTCTGCCTTTGTTACCCTTAAAATTTGCAGGATAACCGATTTTGGAAATAATTGTCTTTACTATGCCCCTTCTTCGTACAATGAGGGCATTCTGGAGCATTCTCTCTATGACCTCTGCCTCTCCCACACCTATGGCCTCTTGCTGCCATGGCGATTCCTTCAATAAGAGAATTCCTTTCATCATTAACAATAGACTTTTGTGCTTCATCTTGAATAATCATGGAATACGCCTTATTGACTGTTGGGAGAGGGTTTATGAGAAGTATTTGACTTCTGGCCTGAGTGTACAAATCATTGAGCCCTAACAAGAATTGAAGTAATTTTTGTTCTTGCATGATCAGGCATATGTACGAGATGTTTCACAAGTACAGGATGGAAGAATTACCAATGCAGACTGCTCCTCCCATAGCTCTTTCAACTTGGAGTAGTACACCGACACAGATAATGACCCTTGTCTCTGAGAAGTAATTTCCCGATGCAGAGTAAAAATATGAGCACTATTCTTCTTGTTGAATCTTTCTTTAAGATGGAACCACACATGATGCGCATTCTGAAAAAAAAAAATCCCATTTGCAAGTTCCTTTGATATTGAATTGAGTATCCATAAAAGAACAATGGCGTTACATCTTTCCTATTGTTTGTGTAATCCCTCTTCTTGTTCGGCCTTCTTGCATGTTCCATCAATGAACCCTCATTTGTTCTTCCCAAGAAGAGCAGTCCTCATAGATTGACTCCACACGGTATAATTTTCAGTGCCTGTGAGCGTATGATGAACGATGGAAACTCCTTGAGTATCTGATGGGTGTAGGAATAAGGGGTGAGTGAATAGAAGTGCATTGGCGGTTGTCTTCTGATCGGGCATTTTAATACAGAGAGCTAGGGCTTCGTGGAATGGTGAAGGCAAACCTTCGACTCTAATACCATGAAGACTTCTACCCTAGACAAAACGCGGCGTATTGAAAAC